TAACAGCTTTGATGCAGTTGTGCCCGGCGGTATTGTCTTTGAACTGGCGAGGCACGAAGCTTCGAACACTGGCCGCTAATTTTGCACCTGGGCGGCTTTAATCAAGTTGGCTTAGACCCCTCGTAACACCATTCCTTCAGGACGGATTTGGGAATTCGACCTGTATGACGTGTCGGCGATGAGGAATTACGGCATGGAGCCCCCGCAGACTGAGGGTACTTCATCAGATTCTCGTGTACGTTTTCTCGATGCCAGAACACGGAAGCTGTCACTATTATGTCAATTGTGCCCGTTCCGCTTCGCGTTCCATTTCTGAACGGGACTGCGGTGCAATTCAGAATAGAAAGAGAACATTGATAGCTTGCAGCGTTGGACCGCCGATTAGAGGGCTACGAGAAATCAAATGCACTTGGCGTCCTGTTCGGACAGGTTGAACTTGATCAGCGAGTCTCATTTTGACCCAATATCTCTGGAACTTAAGTAACCGCTTTGAAGACGATGATAGCCCCGATCCTGCCTTGACGCCTGTTCATTTGGCAGCAGTAACATTCATTACGTTAACTGACGCCGACAAGACCGCGGCACAAGCTGCGGTGCTAACCATTGCAAGGAGGCAGATAGATCTACCTCTCGCCCCTTTACCTCGCACCTTAACCTCGCCCCTTAACCTCGCACCTTAATCTCGCCCCTTAAACTCGCCCCTTAACCTCGCCCCTTAACCTCGCACCCAAGCTGTCGTTTTCGACGGAGGAGTCGATAGCTCCCGCGAAGGCGGAGAGTTTGGTATCATATCTTCGAATTCCGCAACTCCGCACCAAATGACCTACAGACTGGCCGTGCAACATCTTGGTGCGAGTTTAAGGTGCCCGGGCCTACTATGCTCGCTGGCTTTGGGTCTTTTCAATTGGGCTTCGAATCGCATTTGGTCCCAAGAGGCGCGAAGACGCCACTTGTGGGCCGCTTGATAGATCCAGCTCAGCCGCAAACATCGCGCGCCCCAATTGCCAGAAGCTATTTCGGAAGCAGACGCCAACTCTTCTTTGGCGAAGCAACGAGACACTACGCGCGCTTTGACGTCATTGGTCTTGGAGGGGCCGGCTCGAGCTGACGGATGCTTCTCAAGCTACGACTCAGTTCGCACTGGGCTTGTCTTCTGTCGCTTGACAAGGATGACAAGTCGCATGCTGCTGGTCTCCGTAGAGGCCGCTGCACGCGACCATGTCAACTTCTAGAGTCAACATACACGCAAGTGTGTTTGGGTCCCCTTTTGCGTCGATTACTTCTGCCAGCTCATCTGACTGCTGGCTGACGTCACAAGTCGCGGAGCGCCGTTACACCCGCATCATCCAGGCGTAATCTACTGCATCACAGGATCTCAGGGCATGCACAGTTCTCAGGGCAGAAGACGTACGACATCTATCAGCCCACGTCGCTCTCACTTCTCCTGACGTTCTCAAACTTCAAGGTGTAGTCACCTTCCTGAGCGGGCATACTTGTACAGCCATTGTGATTTGTGCACACTGAAAGATTCGCGAACAAACAGATTTGCAATCTTACAAATGCATAGATCTCTTCGTACCTCCCAAGTCAACGCTGGTCGACTGTCTCGAATGATCCCGCTGCGCTCACTTGCATCGCACAGTTAAGAAACAGAGCGTCAGCGATTTTGGTCGCCTTGTGCGCACGCTCTCGTAGGGCGGGCGACCATGTTTGAACCAGGTTCGGACGCCAGGCTTCGAAACGGCCGAGTTTCAGATTCGGACGCTAGGTCAGACTTTACAGTCGCGACCGAAAGTCCCAACCTCTGGAAGGACTTCACTCGCCTTTCTAGTTGAATACGGAGGGCAGTTCACCTGTCTGTTCTTTCGTCGATTGGGACGCTTTCCGCCAACTCTGCTTGTGTGCGGCTCAACGATGGCACGTCGATTGACCCTGGAAGCCCTGAAAAAGTCTCATATCTTGCCCGAGACCCGCGCGCGCGCGGCTGCTTCGTGGGCCACCTTGACGAGCGTGCGGCCGTCCCGTAGATCACAGACACGCGCGCGCGGCCGCTTCGTGTGTGTTTCAGATCGCTTTCGCAAAGCTGGCTGACTCCGAAATCAGCGTCCTCGAAATCAGGACGTCATGACAAGCTAAAGACGGGCGTCATGATTGTCCCGGTCCAAGTTCTTTAAACCCGAACCTGCAAGATGACGACTTGTGAAGCGGCATGTTCAGGCCGCCTACGGGGAACTTGACTGTTACTTAACGTTGGAGCCACCCGCTACAGCTTGTAGTTGAGAACCTCCTAAGTGGTGCCTCCCCGTGTGTCTTCGCTTTTGAATCTCTTACGGTGGGTTTGATTCTATGTGGGCGTAAAACGGCCGTTCTCTTTCCTGGGCGGATTCTGTGCAACGTATTTTGGTCGTCTAAGTGCGGAGAAACCTCTTGGAGAAAACCTGATCCTGGATTCTACTTCTCGATCGGATGTCGATCTCAGAGAAGTCTTCGCGGCATTCACTTAAAAGCATCTGGCGATGCTGACAAATGCATCGGTGGCCCTGATTGGCCATGAGGACTCGGTGCGTTCATGATCGAAGCCGAACTGCCGCGATGTGACAGACGTGAAGACACGAAGTCGACCATTTGTTTTCAATGGGCGCCAATCTTATCATCCTCCGCACGTTACAGAGTAGCTCAGGAAAATATTGCACTTCCTGCGTTTTGAGTCTTCTGTAGCCCTAAAGGACGCCCGGCCAGGCTCGAGTGGCGGCGAAACCCTGAACTGACAACGGAGTTGCAATCTTTCTTCTTTCTTGTAGGTGTGTCGGGAATGATGATCGCGCGCTGACTGACACGTGCTGTTTTCTTCAGGCGCTGAAGCTCTTTGGGTTTCGTGCTGACGTACTCGGGCTGGTCTGACAAGATACCTAACTGCGAAGCTGCCAGTCAGGATCCTGACTAGACAGCAATATTAGAGTCTGGGGCCGCCGGCATTTCGCTTAGAAGACTCATAAGAGAGCTCGATATTCTGGAAGTCAAATACTTCGCTCATATACTCCTACAGTTCCTGCCCGACATCACGGCCCCACAAGCTGAATGTTTCCAGAGTAATTGGAGCAATGACAAATTAAAAGCGCATAGATTGGGTCTGATAATGAGTCATCGCTCCTTCCTCGTTTGCGCTGATGCTAGCTTCCGAGTCGTTGACACAATCCGGCTGGCTCATTGTTCATTTTCTATTCTTCGAGGCGATCAAAAGCTCTTGCGGCATTGTACATACTAATCTGTGTACAACGAGCAAAAGTAAATCAGAACGCGCGCTCCTGAGGATGCTGTAATCAGTGGTGCATTCAGCTGAGCGCTGAATATACGGACGACGGTCTTTCTTCCAATATTTGGCTCTTCGAGGCGCCACCGATTGTTGCCAGTGCCAGCAGCCACGAAAATGAGTATATCTCGTTGTTCGAGGAAAATACGTCACGTATGCTCGCTTGAAATCACTTTTCTTTTCCAATTCTGTTATCAGCAATCAACGGCCAGGGATTGATACAATGTGTGAGCGAGTGCTCAGTAATTGTTTGCCGCGTCTGAGGCCGCTCGGATGTTGACAGGTGTGAACTTTCGGTTGAGACGGCAAACTTTTGGTCTCTGTCTGGTTCACTAGAGCTTGCCAAAACAGTAAAAGACTCTCCTTCGCCGATGCATCCTCATGCGCGGCATGATCAAATCATATGAGTACACACGTGCTGCAATGATGTACGAACAGCGTAGGCGTGCTGCACGACATGAGGTGGCATGCATTGAAAGCTAGCTCCACTGTACTGCGCAACTCGGCATCGGCGCTCGAAATTCTCCGGAAGGATTTAAGTATGAAAACGTATACGATCAGCTTGAAGAGTGACATGCCTCTCAGGGAAGCGAGGCCAAGGCTCGCAGACCAGCACTAGCGCCTTCTGTAAGATGACCAACTTTCAGCACTTTTTCCAATACAATTGTGCCGCCGCTCATTTGCGGAATACATGCTGACTCGACTTAATCTTGATCAGCACGACCCCAGCACGACCACGACGTGTGCATGTGCGGTCGCCATCAAATCAAGGGAAGCGTTCCGGGAGCGTTCCGGCCGGCTCGTATAATCTGCACTTAAGCTTGGCCCGGGGGCGTGCTACATACGTCACAGTAAACGAAGCTGACATTTGCTGATGCAAGTATATTGACGGATTTGGCCGCCCGCCGAGCAGCGTTACAGCTCCTTACAAGTAATTGAGGCTTCGGTTTGAGTTTCGTCTTCTACAGAGAAAGAGCGGCTGTCATTGCTAGCTCGTCGGGGTTACTAGCTGATTAGCGAGCCTCTGTCTGCAACGTCGGATTACTCGCCAACAGCTAGGAATTTTCCTTTATCCAATTTCCCTGTGCAGTCGTTTAGTAATTGATTGTAACAGTCGACGTAAGCAGCGCTTGCTTCACGAATCACAAAGCTGGTGGTTCGAACTTCGAAGAGTTCAGGATGACGCAATCATTGATGCAACGGAAAAGGCGGGATTTTGCGCAATCAGAGGACCTTCAGTCAGTTTACTTCAACTCACTGCCCAGTCAAGCTCAGCCTATCACAGTGAACAGACTGAACTTCAAGGCTTGAAACAAGTTTCAGAGATTTTTCTGGATTTCCCGGACCTGACAATTCCTGTGAGCTTGGAGACACTGTAACCAACTGATCGTTGGCATAAAAGCCGCCAACCGCAGCGCGCCACGTGTCCCCCCGGCCGAAAAACCTGCCCGCATGGCAGAATCGGCCAGGCTGCCTGGGCTCGGTTAGAGACTTTTGGGTCAGCGCCTGGCTTTCGAAACCCGACCTTTAATCGGAAAAGCATCACCAGTCCTGACTCAGCTGTGTCGGAACATCCAGGCCCGGGAAGTCGGAGCTCGCTCAGACGCCTGAGGCTGCGGCCTGGGTCAGGCTCCCTCCCTCACGCCTCGCTGGTCTGGAACCGGCACTTCGGAATCGCAACAATTTGCCACTTCGGAGCTCGCTCAAGACGCCTGAGTCAGGCTCCCTCTTCAAAGAGCCTCGGCCCAGAACCGGCAGTTCGGGATCGCTCAACCGGGACAGTCTAAAATGGAGCTTGCTGAGACGTCTGAGTCTGACTCAGGCCTCCCATTGCAAGGGAGTTGGAGAGAATCTGTACCTATAAAGAGAGGTCCTGCCCCCTCATACATTCATTCCTTTAGCACTCTTTCCCAGCGTCTCAGGAAAGTTCCAAAGCACGCGTGCCACTCAGATTTCAGCGACCTACAAGCATCCTTTTCTCAGAGACAACATGCCCGCCATGTTCTGCAGCGCCTTTCTTAGCAAATCACGTACCACTAGCTTACTTTGAATTGTAGAAGGCCTGATTTGCCGTGGATCAGCTGCCACTGTGAGTGCGAGGTACCAGCGGGCTAAGCTGGTCAAGTGGTGGAGGGCAGCTCCAATCCCGCTTAGCATCTGTGCGCAGCTGCCAAGCGCATAGTGCAATGTGTTGTGCTCGAGTTGCTGGCAGTGTGGTCCGAGTTATGAGCTTCTGAACGTACGCTCTTGTGTAGGTAGTAATAAGCTGTTAGCAGAGGGGGCCAGCTTCGTCAAACAGCTTGCAGAAGAGCACCATTAAATTTGCAACTGGGGGCTGCTGGCATGGCTTCTGACCTGCGTTTCCACTGGGAAAGGTAAGCCATGTTTATGAGCTGAGTATGCCCCACGTATGCCGAGCAAGAAGGGCTGATCATTGATTGCGTTGCACTGAAAGGCCTTTCCATACTGTTGTGCTCTGACCCACAGGAAGCAAACTGTCACTTTGTGTACCTGCCTGTCTACGCTCTGTTGCTTCTTTATATGAGTCGATCTTGCAAAACCTGGACATGGCTGTGGTGGAGGTTTAGAGCAAGAGATTTAATCGGTGCTGCTAGGATCACTAGCTAATATGGAACCCTTCCCCTCACTCGAATGCTGACTTGCACCCCCTATCTGTTTCTCTTCAGTGATCCTTCCTCCTCTGAAGAACCGGAAGGAGAGGATATTGAAGGTGTTGAGTATGCGCCCCGCTCTGTTGACGGCTCAGAGTCTGGACGCTCACTTGCGGACTTCCTCCAAGACGAAGACTGTGCCAGTATCCAAGGTCCGTCCTTCTACAGGGCGTTTAACAACGAGAAAAGCCTCAGCCCAGCTTATCTGCCAAGGGGTCTCCCAAATCTGCTAAGCAAGAAGAGACCCGCTCCGGTGAGCTTGCTTGTATTTTACATGCTTCCGGTGTGCAGCATTTGCGCGTCTTCTTCTGCCTTGATTCCATGACATAGGTTTTTGGAAAGAACCTTCCTTGCTTCTTGCAGCGCTAAGCCTTTGGCCTTCATTCGAAGACAGGCCCAGAAGTTTTGTAACTTGTCGTGCTTACAAGTCGTACCTAGGAGCAATGAATGCTTGACACAGCTTGTGTGCTTGTGAAATCCTACTCTGCAATTCACCATTGTTGAAAAGGCTTTGCGCTGCTCTGAAGAACCATGAGTAGCTCATTTGCATGTATGCCTTGCAGGGGTATCTGCCTACGTCTCCATTCGCTTGGTCCTGTGGCAGCGCCTTCAGACAGCGGACCTGCATAACGCCCCCAAGCTGCAACTCACAGGTGAGGTAACAGGCTATTACAAACTTTGAGCAACTTGTGATCAAACCCGAGGGGTGCTACACACAATGATTTCAGCCGTTCTCCCAACCGATGATTGCACCTCAGAAGGTCCCATCAGCGACGGAGCGTTCTCATTGTGAGTTGCTTTGGAGAACGCTTGACAGGGAGGATGATGATCCATTGCGCAGACGAGGGAGTGTTCTAAGTCTGCTGATTACTGCCTCGATTCCAGATAAAGGTCTATTGCAGTCTAGAAGAAAGGTTGCTTCGTTTTGCACTTTAGAGTTGTTGAGTCTACCTCTTATTTCACCGATCTTAGAAACTTCTTGTCTTGCATTTACAAAGTGCCTCCCCTTCTCAGGTACCTTCATCTTCTCGCGTCCTTCAAAGCAATGGCGGCAAGAAGGGTTCAAGTCAACCTTCAGCTGGCGACTGTAGTCAAAGCCTAACACTGAGAAGGAGAGGCCTCGTAAAGAAGCGGCGGCGCGTCATCCTCTCGCAAGAGTAAGAAGAAGAGCAGCCGGTGCTCCCCCCCATTGGGTGAGAAGTGCGCTCAGCACAACAGCGTCCCTCTCCGCATGCAAAAGGCGGAACGTTGTGACGGTCCGTTTGAGTGACCCCAAAGGCTAATGCGACCTAAGTGGGTTTTGAGGGTCGGTGCGAACCCTTGGGGCTGCTATGCCAGTTTTCTGAGGCCTCAAGTGTGCCAGTGACTACCACGTATGGAATCCTGAGGGCTTGTTGGAGTTGAGTCAACACGGCAACGTAAATGTTGTTGCAGCCAATCATGTAGCGTCAAGCTCGAGTAGGGTTAACAACTTGGGGTGACAAACAGATGTCTATCGTGCTCTGCGCAGCGAAGGGTAGGTCTATGTGCAAATGATCGACATGTTCGATCTACCATGCATGTTCATGCTTTGAATCTGCACACGGCATCATGCAATTAATGATGCAGGTGTTTGCATTCCTTTGTTGAAGGTCATGCACATTCATATATCGATCGGGGCGTCTCGCACGCTTATGTATCATCGCCGCGCATGCACACTAAAGTCGTCACTCTAGAACAAAAGCGCGGAAAATATGCGCATCAAATCAAAGATATATATGCATAATTGTATGCATGTTTGAGTTCACACGATCAAGCTCATACCAATGGAACATACGTTATGCATGATACACATGTACATCACCATCTGATCGTTTTACACGAGTACCAAAGTATAAATACAAACAACCTCCAAACAATTGACTTGATGGAGACAAACCATCTTGCATGCCAGTAATGTAAGCGCTTGTCCGAACAACTAGAATCGGTTTACTTCTGATCTGATCTTTTAACTCAGGAACGATGTCAAAATATGTACAGTGCTTTGGGCGGACTTTTGTCATGTGGCGCTTGTCTAAGGTTGCTAGTTGACTAGTATTCAAACGCTCTGCCACCTCAATGACTGACGCGTCCACGAGACCCAAAGGGAAATCTGAATACTTCTTCACTAACTCTAGGGCTCGTGGCAGGAACGACGGTTCCCATACGTCGACGATGAACAGCCCTTTCAAGACCCCTTCTTCAAGACACACAACTTCAATCTCCGTTCCACTATCTTTCACCAGTAGATGAGTTACCTCCGGAAGACAAAGTGACGGAAGAACCAATGGGTACCCCTCAGGGATAAGGACTGCTTCCATGATCTCATCGATGACTTTGTGATCAGCATCATTGTAGTCGAAGTACGCTTTAAGGAATCCCGCATCCACCACAAACGCATCTTCTAAACGCCGTCCCTCATGTGTCTTGACTGTTTTGAAGGTCGGAGCCATTGCCACGTTGTCTGCTTCTTTCCTTCTCGACCGCTTCCCAGCTGCAACCAAAGCAAAGGTTGGAATCAGTGGTTAGAGAACTCGTATCTCTTGGGGAGCAAACACTGTTTACAGTCTATCTATGCAAGCTGAGATGCCGCCTAGAGTAAATAGCTTCAAAGCAACTACCGTAAGGCGTAGTCTAGCCTCCCTCAGCCTAAAGGTTTTGTGCCAAATAGTCTGGTCCGTGACAACATGCACACGACTGGCCCTACCAATTACTGCTTGCAAAGGCCTACAGATTGTTAGGGCAGATGCATCAATTCCTAACATAGCTTCAACTGACAAAGAAGGGAGACCTTTCAAAACCGGCTGGAAAACCCTTTGCATATTGGCGGTTCCGCTGGTATCCTTCAACTGTGTTGTCACTCACGCTTCGATCCACGCTTGAGAGCGTCCACGACGCATGTATCGCGCCTTCCGTTCCTCCATACTGATAGACTCGGCTTGCTCGCGCCACATGGCCCATTGGCGGTCCGTCTCGGCCCAATGTTCAAGCTCTTCCCGGTCCATAGTCTTTCCCTCAGGGATCCAAGACTCTTCAAAGACAATTGCAACTGGTCAGATTGCAACGCAGGCATCTCCTTAGCACTGTTAGGGTTTCTGGGGCTGAGGTCCGAACGACGACATCGCAACAGCTTGTGCCCTAGCCAATCACCTTTTGCAAACATTTCATGAGCAAGTAAGAAATTTTGACAACGACAGAATACTTGAAGCAGATGATAACTGCAAGGATGCTGATAATGTCCGTCAAAGACCACATAATGGAAAGTCAGCGATCACAGCACTGCTGCAGCAAGAAATCTATGAAGCTGCCCATATCGCAGGGACCCTGATACACGAGAGACTCCTTGAACTGCAGGAGATCTGAGAAATGCATACGTCAGCAAGAGTCTCCAAGGAGCGGCTATCATAAAAAATGTTTTGATGAAGGCGAGCAAGGCTTTCACAAAAGGTGTCCTGAACAGGTCCCCAAAAAAACCTCAACCTTGCTGGAAAAACGAATTCGCTCAGACCTATTTCTACAACCCAGGCCCCTTCTGGAAAATGGTGGTTAGGGAAGCTCCAGTTCAGCTCGTACGTCAACTTTGTACCAAACGCCTAATGACACTGCCCTTGCTGAATCCAGAGATGAATGCTTCTGTAACATGTTCCCCTACCACAAAAGTACCTAAACCCCTTCCTTTCCTCCTGTTGCTGCGAGAACATTTCTGACATAAAGAGAAGCTTGCGAGAGGAGGTTCCAGCAGCCTATACTACATACCGGTGGCTCGCTCCCCCTTGAGCAGACTTCCAGACCACATCGGACGCCCCACGTTCCTGGCCTTGGGAGCAACAATGATTGCATGCTCCTGGTTGTCTTGCCGGTGAGGCCCCTGGCAACCACAAAAGTACACCCTTCAAGAGAAAGTCAAGGTGATTGAGCAATGGCTGAAACAACAACACCGCCGCCCCAGCAAAAGAAGTGCCAGTAGATGACGCTCCTTTCTTATGCCACACAGCTTTTTAATGTAAGCATGCAAGTCCGAGAAAGATGCAACAACGGGGTCGAACCTTGAACCTTGCAACATTAAGGTTATCCAAAACAAAAAAGAAGGGGGGTCGAGACAGAGCAATCCGCCTTATTCAGGCGTTCACGTCCAACAGTGGCCGTACACAAGGCAAAATCTCACCTGTGCAGCAGGGGCGCAGCAACGAACTTGAACGACGCGACAGGCGGAAGCCATGCGTGCCTACTTTTCGAAACTTTGCGCAACCAGTGCAAGTCGAGTTGGAGAGACTCTGCTGCGACTGGTCCAGCCAGGGTGGCTCCCTTGTCCTGCCTCCAACTAACCAAGATTGTTGACATAAAACCCGCCAAGCTCAGCGTGTACCCCCCGGCCGGAAAACCTGCCCCCCTGCCCGAACCGGCCAAGCTGCCCCTCGAACTGGCCTGGGTTAGAAACTTTCTGGGTTACCTTGAAAGGGAAAGAAACCAGCCCCAAAAATTTCACGGAGGAACTGCATCGGAACAAGGCACTGATCACCTGCCGTTTCACCACGTGCCATGCCGGCTGAACCCTAAAGTTCCCGATAATCCAGGAGTCAGGCCAGAGAGACAGCCAACACTCCCGACTGCAACCGCTGACTCGGAGCTCGCTGAGACACCCGAGTCAGGCCTCCTTTCCAGAGAGACAGCCAACGCTCAACCGCAACAGCTGAGTTGGAGCTCGCTCAGACGTCTGAGTCAGGTTTCCCTTGAGAGAGAGCTCGGAATGGCTTCGGAAACGCTCAACCGCTTCAGATTTGCTCGAGGAAAGTCTGACTCAGGCCCCTCTCGCGAGAAGCAAACAATGGGGCTTAGGGCGGCAAAAACTCTATATAAGGAGGTCTCATTCCTCTTTTCAGATCAGCCAAGTCTATCATCCTTCAGCCCTCCCTCCTCGCAACATCCCAGCAGCAACTTCTTTCCGACCTGCATACACTGTTCTGAAGCGCCCTCTTCAGAGCAACACCAACAGCTTCCTTCAGTCTGTAGGAGACCTTTACAGCATGCTTTTCCTGCTCTGAGCGGGCCTCTTCCTGCCTGCGACCTCCTGCACGCGAGCACCGATTTCTTGCATAGTTAGGGAAGCCAGGAAGCCCCGAGCCAGTCTCAGCATCCGTGCGCAGCTGCCCAACGCAGCTTGCAACAGCACCAATACAGCTGCAACTGAAGACTGCTGGCATGGCTTCTGACCCGCGATCCCACTGGGAAAAGTAAGCCGCTGCTCATGAGCTGAGTATGGCCTCAGTATGCAAAGCCAGAAGGGTCTTCTTGATAAAATTTGATTGAGACTGGTACGGATCGTGATGGAATTGCACTGAAAGGGGCTTTTCCATATTTGATGTGCTTCGAATCATTCGAAGAAGACCTGTCCATGTTCTGTCGCTTCTTTATATGTGTCTCTGATGCAAAACCTGGACATGGCTGTCGTGGAGGTTTAGAGCGAGAGGTTTAAACGATGCTGCTGAGATCACTAAGCTGAGCCCTGTCCTCCAAAACCCAAAGGATGACCTGCATCCTTATCTATCCTCTCCAGTGATCCTTCCTCCTCTGAGGAATTGGAAGGAGAGGATATTGAAGGTGTCGAGTATGCGCCCCGCTCTGTTGGCGGCTCCCAGTCTGGACGCTCGCTGGAGGAGTTCCTTCAAGACGAAGACTCTGCCAGCATCCAAGGCCCGTCCTTCTACAGGGCGTTCAGCAATGGGAAAAGCCTCAGCCTAACTCAGCTGCCAGAGGGCGTCTCAACTTTGCTCAGCAAGAAGGAATTTGCTCCGGTGATTTTATCGGCTTCTGCTTCTGATTTTGCCGTGCTTCCGAGACAGCTTCTGTGATTGTACAACGGCACCTCAGTTGACTGCCATCTAAATCTGTTCAGTGAACCACCGTTGAGTAGGCTCTGGTCTGCTGCTGAAAATGCATAGGTTGCTCACCGGCATGTATGCCTTACAGGGTTACGTGCCCACCTCTCCATTCGCTTGGACTTCCGGTAGCGCCTTTGGAAAGCGGATATGCATAACCCCGCCAAGCAACTTCCAGGTGAGTTAAGAGGCTAGTACAAACTTGCGCAACTTGTGATTAAAACTTCGTGATACTGCACAGGTTGATTGCAGTTGTTCTCCAATCGTTGCACCTGAGAAGATTCCATCAGCGTGGATCGTTTCTGTTCCAGGCTTGTTGTTGCTCAACAGGACGGCCTTAGATGCTGCCTACAGTGACCTTTCCAGTATGTTGACAACCGCCTCAATACCAGATGATGGTCTGGTGCACTTTGTATAGGCTGTTGAGTCTGCTTCTAACTTCTTCGATCCTTCAGTCCACTTCTCCCTCGTTTACTCACTGCCTTCTCTCCTCATGTAGGCGCCATCATCTCGTTGCATCCTGCAAAACGTTGGTGGCAAGAGGCTCGCAAGTGAAGCTTCAGCTGGCAATTGCAGTCCGAGTCCAACATCGAGAAGGAGAGGCCTCGCAAAGAAGCGTCGGCGCGTCATCCTCTCGCAAGACTCAGAAGACGAGCAGCCGGTGGCCCCCCTGCCTCTTGTAGAGGTGAGTCGTGCTTGCATACAAGTTTCGTCCAGGTTTTGCAGATGCGAATTTTCAAACGACAAAACGTGGATATCAGCTGGAGTCCCTTTTCTGCAGCCAGCTCTGCTCGTCTTCTGTGTTTTCTTGATGCAGAAGCTGGACAGGCGCTTAGAACTCAAATGTCGAGGCACGTCCCTAAGCTTGGAAATAAAAGAAGTGACGGTCCAGGTTCTGTCGTTTCTTTATACGCATCTCTGATGCAAAACCTGGACGGCAAAGATCTCAAGGCCCCAGATTCTTTACTCTCAAAACTTGCGAAAGTCGAGGCACGTGCCCAAGGTCAGAAGCAAAATCAAGTCGCCGTCCAGGTTCTGTCGTTTCATTACACGTGTCTCTGATGCAAAACCTGGACAGCACAAAACTTCAAGGCTCTAAAACAGTGAAAAACCTTCGCAACAATGCAGAAAGCGGGCAGTGCCAACTGCTTAGCACTCAGATCAACGCCTTCCATTTGTTGGCCTCGATCAAGTTCTTTGAAACGGGGGGCAAAGCCAGCATTTCTGACGCACACTCCTTCGTCCTTTCTGCAGGTGGCAATCGGTCAACCCGTTGATAGGGTGCGCGCAACTGATCGCAGCCAAGAGCATGGTTTCGCACAAGAGCAAGCTCAGGTACAGCGCCTGGCCATAAGGACCGTTTAAGGTTAGATGAAGGCAAGTTGGTAGAAGCTCGCAGCAGACTCAATGGCAGACACGCACGTGTGAGCAGTCTAGTCGGGAACGAGAAACCCCAAATCAGCCCTTCAAACGATTACAGTATCTTGCATCCGTTTGTGCAATCCGATTCATACATTGGAAGAGCCGCTCAAAGCTGAACGGCTTCCTCACGAGTGTCGTTTCAATTGCTTGCTTAAGTGAGCCGTTCCCTCCGTCAGCTTCCGAAGTGTTGTCTCCTTTTGGCAGCGTTCTTGCAATACTTCTGCTCGATATTCACCTTGCAAAGAATTGAGGCTGCAAAAATCAATCATGTGATGCCCGTCTAGCAGAAGTAGCGTAATTTCTCAGGCTCTGTTGCAGATCCCTGGTCGTGTGATGGTGCACACCGAGCGTGACGGCACAATCCAGACAGTGCAAGAGAACAAACTCGGAACGGCCTTCTTCTCCAAGCTCAGTCGAGCAAAGCTCCACTACCAAGACCCTAAGAACGGGCCGCAGGGTTTCAGCAAGCGGTATGCTGCTCTCTGCGAGCACAAGGTGGAGCTGCAACTTCTCGACCACAAGGGCTATCGCAGCTATGGGTCGTACTCAGACTGGCCGACCGCGCGGGACTTCACTTCGCAGCAGCCTTTCCTCGAGGAGGTGCTTGTCGAAGGGAAACCCTGCAAGCCGTTCCTAGACATGGAAAGAGATCAGGGGTTGCCCGAGGGGGAAACTCTTGAGAGCATCATCAGCCAGTTTCAAGAGGCCATCACGAAGATCTTTGCGGAGGACTACGCAGTCGAGATCCAAGAGCGGGACTTCAACTGGGTCCACTGCGACTACGGACCCGGCGGCAAGTTCAGCGTCCATCTCGTCATCTCAACGCATGGGCCGCGACAAATGGTCTTCCGTTCCAATCTCGCCCCTAACGTTGACCCGCAAGGAGCAGGGCACCTTGCCCGTAGGCTTGCTAAGGTTCTCCCCCCGACCCTGGCTGACCTCATCGACCAGAGTGTCTACACTCGGAATCGAGGCATCCGGATGCCTGGTTGCGCAAAGCCATCCAGACCCGACTGCCCCCTGCGTCCCCTGGACCACGCCAAGCCATATGCTGACAGCGTCATCACCTGGCAAGGTAGGTAGCCTCTTGTATACGACGGCTTGCTTTTTCTGGAGAAACTCTTCGCTGAGTGGCAGGATAGAGGCAAGTCGCGGTCCAGCTTTTGTCAAGTATTTTAAAGCAGAGATATGCAAACCCTGGCCAGACGCCGGCACATGACTGCCGCATGGCACTGCCCGATAGCTTCAGGCTTGTTGACCTGTGAAGTTTGTCAGAACGGAACTAGGAACGTATAGCAACTTGACTTGGACTTTATAGGCACAAGAATCGTGTGTCCAGTTTTTGTCAATTTATATTACGCTCATTCTTTGCAAAACGTGGACAAGTTTGTGCGCACCATCTTTGAAGTAGGTCGTGCGCTCAAGACTGCAAGATATAGACAAGGCCCTTCTGCTGGCTGACGTCATTAAATGATCTGCTTGAGTCGGTCGAATTGAGCACCTTTCGTCCGAAGTGTCATCAGGCAACTTGACTTGGACTAAGTTCATAAGGACAAGAATCGCCTGTCCAGGTTTTGTCCTTTTATATTACGCTCATTCTTTGCAAAACGTAGACAACTTTCTGCGCACCATAACTGAACTAGAGCGTGTGCCAAAGACTGCAAAATGTAGACAAGGCTCCACTGCTGGCCCGCTGACGTCATCAATCTGCTTCGTTGTTTGACCAGGAGGTTGACTTCATCAAGGTCCCCGTCCTCGTGCCTGATGCTATGCGACAACAGCGGCGCCCCACCAAGCCCGCCGAGATGGCTGTCCTCAGCGCCTCCAATCTGGACGCCTACACGGTCCAGCGTTGCCTAGAGCTCTTGCAAGCACGGTTACATCCAACGGCCTACAAGCGAGGGGCGAGTAGGGAGCTGAACTACAGCTGGACGGACCGAGAAGGAGAGCCGTGCTACACCGGGAACACTCACTCTGGAGGGCGCGATCTTTTGTGCATCGTGAACGAGACTCAGAACGCCGTCTTTGCCAAGTGCTCCAGCGAGAGGGTCGACTCCACAACCGGAGTGTGTTGCATGGAGCAGCCTGCCCACTATCTCGGCCGTTTGTACGAGGACGTGGAGACTTGGAAGGCCGGCGCCATCGAGATCGACATGCGCTACCTCGAGCGGGACCCCCTTGCTGCTGGACCGATGGATCTGCAGCTGATCCGGATGGGCTCGAAGGGGATGACGGACAAGATTCTTCTGAACAGCGTGGTCAACAGGTGAATCCGCAAGTTTCGATTGCTTGCAACTGCAAAGATCTGCCGCTACTCGCTAGTATTTTCTGGTTGTCTTCCTGAGTCCGTCAAGTTCATCTGTCTTGCTCAAGTTGAAAGCACAGCATATCGCATGTAAGCAGTTGCAGCAGCTCTTGGATTCACCTTATAAACGGTTCCAATTGTAATGACAACCTGTTTCTTTTGGCGCTTTCTCAGATTTGGCCGCACGTATGATAGGCTGATAAACGGTTTTAGCCTCGAAGTCAAGCGGCTTTCCTGCCCACCGTTGAAGTAGATCCTTGGCTTCGCAGGTGGCAAGCTGGCGAATTCCAGGCGCTCCTCGTTCGAAGCCCGATGGGCACGGGCAAGTCCGAGCTGGTCAAGCGGATCAAGGCCGAGGAGCCCGTCCCTCAGAAGATTCTGCTGATCACTTATCGGCAGACGCAGGCGGCTGATGCACACGGCAAACACCCGGAATTCGCCCACTATGCGGACCTCAAAGCCCTGCCATCCCAGCTGAACGAGCAAGGGGACTTCGTTGCTCCTTTAGCCGACCAAGTGCGGTTCCCAAAGGTCATAGTCCAGTTCGATAGCCTTAACCACCTCCTCGTCGACAGTAGAGTGGTCGACTCATTCGATCTCGTAATTCTTGACGAGAGCGAGTCCATCTTGGCCCATCTTTCAGCTGACACCTTCTCCAACAGACACCGGACCGTCAACTTCCTGATAGAGCTTCTGGACCAAGCAAAGCGGATCATAGCGCTGGATGGGCACTTGGCTCAGCGGACGTTCGACTTTCTCACAATGAGCGGCATCCCGTGCGGGCCTGTAGTGGTCAATAATCACCTACCCGAGCGTCCGCTCGAGTTTACAATTCTAGAGAAGGACGAGGGGAAAGCTTACTGGCAAAGGTCCATCTGGTCTGCTCTAGAGGAGGGCAAAAACTGCATAGTGTACAGCATGTCGGCGGAAGAAGTCTTCAAGTTGAGGGACGCCACCGAAGCTACAGGCCTGCTACAAGCCTCGGAAATACTCGTGATCACAAAAGTTTCTCCCGGAGACATCAAAATGGGCCTGAACAACGTGAACCTCTCCTGGAAACGCCGGTTGGTCATCCTCAGCCCCACAGTGGAGGCAGCGGTCGACTTTTCGGCGCGGTGGTTTCACCGCTGCTTCATCTACATCTGTCCACAGAGCACCACTCCGAGGGGCTTGGATCAGATGAAAAGCCGCGTTCGAAACCTGGAGGAACCAGAAGTGTTGTGCTACGTGCAAGCCGGCATCATTTTGCCGAGCAAGACGGGGCTGGACGCTTTAGGTGCGTGCGATGGAGGTCAGTGTACAGCCGCTGAACAATGGCTTGGTAAACCATAGGCTCTGCTCCGATAGACTGCCTTTGTTGCAAAGTAGCTAGAGTCTTTTAAAAGCATGACCGTAAGACTTAGGCATGGGCCTAGGCTTAGGGCGTCTATGTTTTGTCAGGTTCCAAAGCACGTGCTCGAATTCCGAAAACCAGTACTAGTTAGTAGGTCCGATTTGCCGTCCAAGTTCTGTCCTTTCTTTATATGTGTCTCTGATGCAAAACCTGGACAGCGCGAATCTCAAAAAGATGACAAGGCCTTGAGCGTTTATGTTTTGTGGAATTGGACAGCAGCTATGCTCGTCTAAATTTTGTCGAGAGCGAAGGCACGTGTTAGACCTTGACAGCGAAGCAGATCGGGGGCGCCCATGTTTTGTCGATTCTATGTATGCGTTTCCGATGCAGAACCTGGACAGTGCAGATTTTGAGGCCCTGCTCGAAGTCTTTGCAACGAAGATAGCCTGTACGAGCTATCACGGACTTACATCTTTGTGTGATTCATCCGACCTTATTCTTGGTTCTAGATCGATTCTGCTGAGTTGAAATCCCCTTTACAATTCTGAGTAAGCAGCACTTTCAATCTGAATCTTGCCAACGTACTTCCTTCGTGTACTCTATGTGCAGACCCTGTGGGCTCGACTCAGGCTGTCTACCTAACTGCCATGGGGCCCAAACAAGCAGCAAGCCGGCGGCTGGGGGTAGAGGAATCCTACCAGTTCATGCGCTGGATACACAAGAACGTGGAGGCCCGTCAAGAGACGAGGCAACGAGGGGAAGGGGGACAGAGCATCTTCGCGCCGATAGAGGACGCTGTAATGAGGGTCTTAGCACATAACGAAGCTGAAAGCAGCAACAAAACCTCGCACTTCTATGAGGTCTTCACTGAGTTGCTCAAGAGCGAGGGGCATATTGTGAAGGGGGTGCGCCAGTTGGACCTCGCGCCGAAATCCTTGGCTGGCCCGGAAGAAGACGAGGAGGGGCCTTCCCGAAGCTATCTAAAGCGGCGTCTGCTGGGGGCGCCTGACATCTCGCTCGAGGAGGCTAAGCGCCTTCAGCTTCTGATTAACAAGAAGCAAGATCGGGAGGGGGACTTTGCGAAGGTGGAGCGGTTCAACTATCGGAGGTTTTACAAGCTTCGACAGCTTGATGGACCCTTTCTTGACATCTTTGGGGGACAGCATCTCGACTCCCTCACCTTGCTGCTTCAAGTGGTCGATCCTGCCTATCAATTCCCCGAAGACGAGATCGGTAGAGCGAAGTCCGCGCCACTCATGGCAAAGCTCGCGAGAGAGGTCGTTTGTGTGCTTGGGCTCGACCATCCGTTGGATTACGCACATGAGTCCGAGAAACTGGAGGTTCTGAGGCCGAAGCTGGCGGCGACCGAGTACTTCCGCGACTACGGAAGATGTGTTCGGCTGTTCACTGGACGCACCGTTCAACAGATCGCAGATCTAGACGACCCGAAGGCGGTCTCCCACGCCTTGAACCACATCTTCAACCGGATGGGCGTCCATGTTAAGCACGTCCGGTTGGGCCGGCAGACAAAAGCTGACTGCAAGGCTACTAAGAAAAGGGAGCGCCTGTATGGGGGTTGGCAGATTGAGCCTGAATGTTCCGGAAGAATCGTGGGTGCGAAGCTCATGGTGCAGTTGCTCAAGCTACAGGTGGAGGCGTCTTCATTGATGCTGAGAGATCTGGACTCAAGTCTAAGAAGGCTCATAGAAAACGCGCCGTTCCAATACAGGCACCTTGTAGAAGCCCCATGCATGTTGGAAGCCGTAGTGTAGGCTCTACTTGCTTTCGAAACAGACCGTCAAATGTAATATAATTGAAGCACAAACCGAAAGTTGGAGCTAACGAGAGTTTTGATCGTGGGTTAAGTTGTATGCAACAAGTCATTTCCCTGATCAAAACATCTGCTATTGCAACACACGGCATCTCTATGCCTCGACGTAGCCTATCGTGTCTGGATGCGCACTATGATACGAGGCAAGTTACAAAACATGGACGAGTGCAGAGCTTCGGAATGCTGTCCACGTTTTGCATCAAAGACACATATATATAGATGACAGAACGTGGACGGCGACTTGCATAAGCGCGCACTCGTTGGCAAAATCTGGACGGCGATCTGAGCGCATTCTTGTTCTTCGGTTTTGGTACTATGGACTCGGTCACGTTTCCATGAAATAGCAATCATTGTCTGACAAACTTGTTGAAACCCGAGCTTTGCTAAGGCTTCGAAGCTTTCATCTCGTCAACTGCTGCCGTTGGAAAGGTGGCGGCCTTCGCACAGACAATCTGATTGTTGTTATCGAACTGAACGCCAACTTCCTTCAGCTTCGACACTGTCCTTGCGTGAGGATTCCTTGTTCTTCCACTCCTCAGACGCTTGGCAGCGTCTTGTAGTAAGATAGCTTGCTTATGTTTTTGATACCATGCCTTCTTGTACCTAAGTGCCCGCTGCTTGTTGCATCTGTACGAGTCTCGTCTCTTCAACTTAAGCTCAACTTTGCACCGTGGCATGGCGTCTGATGCCTGGAGAGATATTGGAAGCAATGCATTCTGAACAACTCGATGCTTATTCCCACAATGGGTACATGGAATCAAGCGCGAGATGGTCACCTCTGTGCCGGTCGACTCCATCTCGTCGAAGTGTTCTATACTACTCGGTCATGTTTTTTTTTTCCAACTGATCAACGCAAACCTCATTTACCTTTGGCATCCTTGCAGACCTCGAGTATCCCTTTGGCGATTGACAGTAGAAGCGCTGCCTCATTTTCAGAATATCCACCGCTTTCATGATCTATTATAGAGGCAGAGACTATGCTGAAAACATCATCCCAAGAGACAATCAACGTATCTTGATCGCAGACCTGATAACGGAACAGTAGTACGCCCTTCCGAATCAAAGTCATGTCGATCGGAACTCGAAGCCCTTGATCCACGATCCTTTCATAGCGAAGAGGTCCGAAGCTCTCAATCTCGTTGATGACTGGGAGCAAGCTATACAAACGGGGATTTGACTGCTTTGGCACGTAGTATTGAAAACCTCGCTCCATTATTCTGTTATTAGAAAGGAAAAGAAATCCGGCATGCTGTAGGCTCTGTCCCCCCAGTCTTCATCACTGTCGACTGCAACACATTTGAACGTTGTTGCCTTGCTTCCTCGAGCCTTTCCAGTGGCTTTTGAAGTGCCTGTAGTAGCTGATTGTTTCGCCTTACCATTACAAGTTGACTTCCTCTTGCAAGTCTGCTTTGAAGCCTTGCTCGATGCTTTGCACTTCTTCGTGCTCTCTTGCTTCTTCTTTGCGGAAGCGTGCATCTCGATGAGCTCGTCGACCGGTATCTTAGTTGCTGATGTTGAAAAAGTCCCCTGGAACGGGAGGCCAACAGGTCGTTCACACTTTTTGATTGGAGAGATCTTCACTTCATATCCGAATTCCTTCTTGGCTGAACCTCTAGTCGATTCCTGCAGCAGAACACTCACAGTGCAGGGTGCTTTGATGGCTGCACCGTTACATTTGAGTGCCCGAAAGAGCTGGCTTCCAGCTCGAGTGCCTGCTTGTGAAACACGCCCCTTGTCAGCATCAATCTCGAGACGTGTGTCTTCTAGAAGGCTCGAAGCATCTGATTGGTTATGGTCAAGCGCAAGAAGCACTTTAAAGGATCGTTTCAATGCAATATCCATTAGGCCGGCTGTATGATGTAACGACAGACAATAAACCTGAACCCAAAGTGCTTCATGCCCCCTACTTTGGAGGCTGGCCCACTGAAGCACTTCGATCGTCTCGTTGATCTGGCAAGGGTTTTGACAGACAATCATCAGAAGTTGCCCTTCTATAAGCAGATTGTTGGCTACATAAAGCACATTACAAAGTTGAACGGCCCCAGTCACAATTCTGAGGGGCAGATTCACAATTCGTACGGATTAACACTTAAATTGGGACCCCTGGAGCAAAGTCTTCCTGGGAGCTTTTGCCATTTTGACCACGTCTTGGGAAATTATGTCGTTCCAGGGTTTGAATTCTGGAATGAAGCAGAAGATCAATCAGTATGTATCGGACTCTGGAATTGAAACGGTGATGCATTTTTGTCGGCTCTCTCTGACTGTATTAGTAGTTCTGACATTCATCATTTCTATCTGAAGTCTTTGAATTCTAGAATCGAGACAAAAGGGCAATTTTCATGGATATGCAGCCTCCTTCTTACCCAAGTTCGGAAGCAAAGGTAGGATCTTGGAAAGGCCACCTCAGGTGGTAAGAACAAATGAGGCAATGGTCGATACATCGTTTCAGGGTATTTGCTCTGAGCAGCCGAGAGTTCTAGAACATGATTCCCTAGGGGACGCATCTCAAGAAGGCGCCCTCGTTTTAATTTCAGAATTATTATAGGCCTCTATAGTATAAGGGAGTCATGGACTCAGAAGCATCCGTTCAATCGAGCACAGAATCCACTTCCAATAATCAAGGGGATGTACAGCGAAAGATATCATCAGGTGAGGCAGCTTTGCGCAACCTGTTTAAGGATGGAAAACGCGCTAACATAACAATTCAACAGTACCTCAACAGTGTGCGAATAATCCATCACCTGGTGACTGGCAAAAAGGTTTTGCCATCCACGTTGGATTGGATCCAATCAGTAGATATCATACTTGAAAAACTCAACGCAAAGTACCCTAACCCTGGCACCTATAAGAATAAACTTACCCCATTAATGGTTTGTGCTCACGCGAAGGGTTGGGAGGAAACTTATAAAAAGTATTTTGAGAGCTTTTCGGAGAAGAAGTTGGCTCTAGAGAAGAAGGCCGATGAACAGAAGGCAACGGAGAAAGAAACTGCGAATTGGATCTCGATGAACGAACTCAAGGCCAAGGCAGAAGACCTTAACCGGCAGATAAGAAGGAGCATCATGCCGAATCATAAAAACAACGGTGGATCAAGCCTGAGCAGAGAAGAAGTGAAGGTAGTGTTTCAGCACTTATTGCTTGCGTTCAATATTCACGAGCCACCTAAGCGAAGAGATCTCAGCGGTCTCCCTCTTTAGAAAGCAGACGGAAGCTTCTACTGCGATCAAGCTAGAGCAGCCTATAAGGATACCGGCAACTGCCTTCGTGAAAGCACAAGTGGTGAATTCATGCTTGTACTGAAGACATACAAGACGAGCAAGCGATATGGAACAAAAGAGTTTGAACTCACACAACGCCTAAACAACTACATCAAACGGTCGATTGAGTTAGTTCCTCGAGGTTTTGTATTGTCTCGGTTGGGGAATCCGACAGAAGGGATGTCAGACAACTATCTTACAAAATTCATGGCATCGATAACGTTCCCTAAAGGGAAGCATCTGAACCAAAACCACCTCAGACACCTCTTCATCAGCGAACATTTCGCAAATGATCATTCAATCGCTGAGAGGAAGCAGTTAGCCAATCGCATGATGCACGACTGGTCAACTGCAATGATCACCTATGAAAGAAAGTGAAAAGTATTGAATCGGATTTGTAGAATATTAAGCCGATGAGATTAGTAAAGTTGGGTCAGAAGCCCAGGATCCGTCCCAATGAACTTCGTCGACTCTTAAACGGATTTCTTGCAGCCGTTTCTCCAGCTCACTCCTTGTTGGAAAGATCAAGCCGCGACCACTGGTGTCTTTGTAACCTTCCAGTCCAAGTGTCCGTTTGATCCGACCAATCAAAACGTCTTTTTGTTGCGGCGGATCTTCTTTCGCGCCTTGATTGTCTACGAAGGACCTGTAAGTTCGGAAGATGGTGGCGCTTAGCACCTTCGTCTTCTTATCTGATGAGAAGTTACCGTTGTCCAGCAACCCGCAAATCATCTTCGCCCAAAATGGAATCGAGTGCTCCCTGAGAGCAGAGCTCCACTTGCTTTTCGGGATCTGCTTGGGGTTCCAAGTGTCGATGCCTTCTCTTGACATCAAGTACCGGTAGAAATGTTCAGCTGTAGTGCTAGTGAGGCTTTCACAAAGCCGATCAAAGTACGGTTGATCTCCGATTCTAGAGTCGGAGGCTTCAAAGCATGCATACCTTCTGTCCGTCGCTTCTTTCTTTATTGGCCAGTCCTCGTTAGTATTGAACCAGTAGTTTGCAAGGTCGGGTACTTGAAGGGGATCGATTCCCTTCTTTTCCAAAATGGTTGAATTCTGGGTGATTAGACTCTTGAGTCGATTATTTGATTTGTATGCCCCACCCCAACTGCTTACTTCATCGAAGCATACCAAGAGGAGGTTTGCAGCTATTCCATTGAATTTGCCAATTACCTTCTCCATATCATTACAGTACAGATAGTATCGAGATCCGATGACATGTTTCCCCACAAAATCGGTCACAATCGATTTGCCTGCGCCCTGATCAGACCTAAACACAAGTGCAGTACCAATCTTCTTGTGCGGTTTTTGCACAAGGTGAGCTAACCAGTTTAGAAGGTAGTCCGCTACAGCAGGATCATTGTCCGCCAATACCTCGTTGATATGCTTCAGGAGAAGATCGATTTGTAACATGTCAACAGGTTGATGCGCTTCTTGAACGAAGGGAAACCCGTAAAACATGTTGTAGTTGCTAGGAGACACCAAACTAGGGTTCGCTTCAAAGACTACCTTGTTGAGCGTCCTTCTCGCTGATGACTTGCACCAGACCTTCCCAATGTTGCCAATCTTGAGACTGTCCAGGTTGAATGATTCGGACCGTTCCAGGAACTCCGCTCTTGTTCGAAGGATGCTGTCATTTGGCACCCATGCAGTGCCTCTTTCAACGAAAAGGGTCTCGATAAAGAGAACTTTTGAGCTGCCGTCTAGAACGCAGAAGTAGTGGTTCATCGTATCGATAGCAATCTGTGTGAGTTGTTGGCACATGTTTTGATACGGCACTTTGTCGACATTGCTTTTGCTGCTTGATATGATTCTCTCCGCTTCCTCGATAGGGCGCAGATCAAAACGTGCTTTGGAGTTCAAAAGCGAAGGCCAATGGTGCAGCCCGAGAAGAACTCTTGGTCGTTCTTTGCATCCTGTTGACAGGCAGCGGTATTCCATGCAAATTCCGTTGCAGATGATGCTAAAACTGTTGCTCGTGTGTTCCTCTCGGTAAGGACAAACCCTGCTCTCCTTCACTCTGAACTTTAAGATGGCTTCCCCATCTCGAAACTTGATGCCTCTGTAGAAACTTGTTTGATCGTTGCATCTACTTCGCAGTAGCTGCGTTGCAACTTGGATTGCCTTTTCGGCCTCGATGGAAGAGGTCGCTTGCTGAGACGAGAGTTCTGTGGTAGTTGTCTGTTTTGCTTTTGCTTTGCTCACATTTGATGTATTATTGCTGGGGTGTTTTGCCGACCCCTGGGCAGCTTGCTTTGTGGAGTCTTGAGCGTTCAAGATATCTACGAGCCACAACGGAAGGCAGGCAAGCTTCGTTTGCCAAGGGGACCTTAGCCATCTGTATGAATGCTCTTCACCGTCACGAATGATGGTAGTGGGGGGTGCGAAGCAGATGCCATTGCCTCTGAAATCGATTGTCGTTTGGCTGGAGTTGATGTATAGCTTGGTCGCATCTGCCTTTCGTTCAAGCCCGGGAGAATCTGCTCGAAAGTAGTAGTGCAAACCGCCACTCTGTGTTTCGGCTGTCCACGTGAGAGGTTCGCCGTGTGCTTGTGTCAAGCTTTTCCAGACATCAAGACCATTAGCGACGGCATTGCTTTCATTCATCTTGGGCAAGTCGATATCAACCATGATAATGCTATTTGGTCCCGTTCGTCCGCAGAGAAGGGCAAGGGCATTCTTGTCGGAACAATCACGAATAAGATCTTCGTGCAACCCCCAAGAAACATCATCCACGATGCTTGAGTATAAGCATCTAAAGTTACTTGCGTCTTTCTTCTTATCCACTTTGTTCCATGTAAGCTTGAGCGTAACCGGCAGGAGATGAAGGCTCCGATACGATGAGATGCTTTCATTGAGGTCCGGATTCATTTTAAAGCTGGGCACCCCTCTATGGTAAGTACTAAGGAAAATAATTCCCGGAATCCGGACGCGTCAAAAACTTGCCTTCTTGCACATACCCGGCAACTACAAGCTTTGCCATGGTGGAGGGTCGAAGCCTCTTGCCTTCGGAATATCGAATTAAAGCTTTGCGTAGACATATCTCCACTTTAGCTTTGCTATAGTGCTTACGAGACCAATCTCTATATTTGTCGAGATTCGAATGTCGGTAGCGCGCTTCATACAGCCGCCGGTGATGGTTGGGATTAGGTTCTCTTGTGTCTAAGATTGACTCAGCCATATCAACGTGCTTTACTCTCTACCCTATGAAAAAGAAGATACTTGAAGGTCTCCTGACGAATCAGTAGATTCACCATGACGTCTGGACACCTCGACCGCTCGCTATTTTCTCATGTGAGGGGATTTCTAAAAAGGGATTCCCACGACTTGAAAACAAGTGCCAAGGTGTCCATGGTGCCAGAGACTTGAGAGTCTGCAGTGCGATCATGTTGTTGACCATTATTATACAAGTATATTAAAGAGGTGCCAGTAAGTGTCCTGACTCCGCCCCCACATGAACGAGAGCATCCCACACGCTTGCGGAAAGCTCAACAGCTATCAATCAATGTACACAGTCTATCATCTATACAAGAGAGCTGCGCGAACTGCCGGCGACCATAGTTTGACTCTGCCAGCAATTTTAATCTTCTGGTCATCAACACGTGTCAATTCTGCGTTGCGCCCGCTTACTACATTAGCTAGAATGATCATGAATGCCTCAAGACCACTAAACCAAGATAGCACCTTGAATTTGATCAGGAAGGAGTTGACGCTCTCGACGGCACTAGTATTCACCCAACGTACAGTGTCGTATAAATCAGGGTTATATTGGGGGCCACACTTGTGCGCCTCCTGGCCAGTCTTCTGGAAGTGGAACCTGCAGAGTGCAGTATCGAAGCATTTTACTAGATGCACGCATACATCTTTTCAGAGGCGGTTGCTTTGAGCACACATTAGTATGAGCCATCAAACAAAAGAAATAACTCTAGATGAAGTGCCAAAGTATTCTCATTGAAATGGAGCCTTGCAATCTCTGCCGTCCAGGTTTTGCAGATTAGATGCATATATAGAAAAGACAAAACGTGGACGGCGACTTGTTCTGTTCCCAAGCTTAGGCACGTGCCTCGACTGTCGCAAGTTCTGAGAGTAAAGCATCTGGGGCTCTAAGATCTTTTGCCGTCCAGCTTTTGCAGATGAGATGCATATATATAAACGACAAAACGTGGACCGCGACTTGTTCTGTCCTCAAGCTTAGGCACGTGCCTCTCGACTGTCGCAAGTTCTGAGTCCAAAAAGTTGATTATCTTGTCCTAGATCAACGACCAGTTCGCAAAAGCATGGACGTATTTGCGGTTTACACACTCACCGGTCGATCAGAAACCGTACGTCAGCAAAGAATGCAGGCTCTCGCCTCATACTGTACGCCCTCAGCTTGCACGAATTATCGTAGATCACATAAGAAGGCAGTGTGTGCCGGTGGAGGCGGGTGTACAACACCGCGAACGGATCACGAGGACTCTCCCCCCGGAGCATCACGTGCCAGCCGTAGATCACCCTGTGAGGGCAGCAGAACACAAAGCCCCCCTTTGTATGCTTTTGCAGCCGCTTGCCCGCTTTCTCACTCTTGGCAGCCGCAACCTTGGCATCATATTCCCCGACCGTGAGACCGCTTTTACAGCGGTGCTCCTCGCTGCTTTCGACGGCCCGACCAAGCTCATCCTCGAACGGCTTGTACTGGGGCAGGGGCCGCTTCTGCTCCCAACCGGGAAGGGGATAGCAGCCGAGCACAGTCTGCTCTCGGCTGTACGGGTGGTTTTCGGGGAGCGCTTCGAGGAGCCGTCCGTCCCCGGAGAGCCCTAGCCGATCGTGCAGCAGCTCGCGCTCGGCTTGGTTAAGAGCATACACGGAGGGGTTCGGTGGCTGCAAAGCCTCGACACCGGGAAGCAGCCTGTTCGCTCTCCCTCTCTAGAAGTTGTAGCTCTCCTCTCGCTCCTCGTTCCAAGACCCGGGGACGTCCCGTCGCAACTGTAGCAGCCAAACGCAGGCATCCAACCCCTCGATAGCAGACAGCGCCCATCCGGCTCGACCGACCCCCAGCCCGACCGCCCCGCGTCCGAACAACGTCAGCCGGTACAAGTGGTGCAGCGTGGGGAGAAAGAAGGCCGGAAACACTCCGTCGTGGTTGTCCAGCAACCGACGAAGGATGGGCGCATGCTCGGCCAGCACGGCCTTTCCCCCCTCGTCTGCTGAACCCTCCAGAAGGATCGTCCGAACAACAGCCAGAGCCGCTCCATGCTGGATCAGGTTGCTGTCGTCAGCGACGGTCTGAGGGGCCCCCAGAGCGTAGAGCACTTCCGCCCACCACTTTCGCGGCGAACGCACTCGACCGGGGTTGACGCCCGAAGCAGCAAGGGTCTCCCCCCGGATCCCCTCCAACAGCAGCCGTGCAGCTCGGTTCTTCGATCGGATCTGCCCGATCTGCTCCTGCAGAAGGCGCCTCCTCTGGACAGTGCAGCAGGACGGGCTCGGCATCCGCATCGTCGGGGTCGGGGACGAACTCCGAGACGAGCTCCACATCATCGCGATCTAACGCAACCTAGGTAGAAGTCAAGAAGTCAAATTCCCGGAGATGATCAAGTGGGCATCATCTGAAAGGCGCGTTTAGATTTAGGTCGACAGTGCTAAAAGATCTCGTGTCAACCTCTTAAGTCCCACTGCAACAACCTCGGCTAAGCATTAGAAGGATTCATCGCGCCTATACGGAGCAGACTGGCATCGAACAGCGTGCGCAACTTGCGCTCAATCGCTCCAAAGTCGACGTCAGATTCAACACCATGGTTGCCACAAAGACTGAAAAGCTCCGCAGTTTGAGTTTAGGATAAATAACTCTGCTTGAAGGAAGTTGCGCCGTGCACATTTGCCAGAACTCTAGCAGTTTGAGCGAGGATCTCGTCCGTTCAGCGTGGGGAGGAAATGGTCTGGAGCCACCTTCTGGCACCTTTGATTATCACTTATAAAGTAAAAATGTATATAGGATTGGTATACACTTTTTCAATGGCCTGGCACCATGGCACCTTGGGCACCTCATTTTCAATCATGGAACTTTCAATTCACAAAAACCTGAACGAAGAAAAAACAAGAGGTGGTGGTGTCCAGGGTGCCATTGGGTGAGAACCTTACAAAGATATTTTTGGTCACAAGCATGATCCGTTCCACCTACCAGCAGCTCTTGGAATTCACTCCCACTCAGCTGCGCCCCCAGATCCGGGTCCTTTGGATGATGTTGGCTGTACCGCGCCAGCAGAGCCCGCAGCTCCGGCTGGTGGATCAAGCGCCGCTTCAGCCCCCGCCCCTCCAGCGCAGTCGCACTGAAGTTCACACCGGCTTCCATGTGCTTCACGACGGTCCCCCCCAAACTGTCACGACTCGGAGCTGTGAAAGGCCGGAGTTCGCTTGCCGCCGTCCGCGCCAGCCCCCCTTTCGATCGGCTACCATCCGCGCACGCTAGCCCGACAATACCGTCGCAGAGCAGAACGTCTGGGTGAGGCCCGCAAAGGCTGCAGCACTCGAGGATGCTTCGCCCACACAGCCGGAAGAAGGCCAAGCAGACCTTCCGCCACGACTCCTCGCTGAGAGAGGGAGCGGCTCCCGGTGAGAAGAGCGTCCGAACCGCCTTCTGTGCGCTGATCAGGGCGCTGAACGCGGATCCGGTCCCTTGAACCGAACGGAGCAGGAGCTGGCAGGACTCTTGCGTGACGATGATGGCTCTGCTCCACGCATACAGGCCAAGCGCTTCCCCGTTGAAGTGGACGGTGTGCTTCAACGGGCATCCGCAGCAGTAGATCCGGACCTTGACCTGCGAGGATGTGCGCGCGCTTAGCCAACGTCCGTCCACGTTCTGTCATTCATATATGTGTGTCTTTGATGCAAAACCTGGATAGCTTTTTGAAGCTCCGCACTCGAACAAGAATGCGCTCAAAACGTCGTCCAGTTTTTGCCAAGAGTGCGCGCTCAAGTCGCCGTCCACGTTTTGTCATTTATATATATGTGTCTTTGATGCAAAACCTGGACAGCCTTTTGAAGCTCTTCGCTCAGATAACCGTTTGGCAGTTTCTGCGAATTTTTATACCTGTCTCATATGCAAAACCTGAATTGCACCAATCGGAACCGGACACGTGGCAACGCCTCGTGCGGACACGTGGCAGGCACCCTCACCTCAAGCTGAGAGCTCTCAATCTCAGAAAGCTGCAGTAAAAACGAGCATCTTCTCACTTTGATCTGGCAGAAGTTTGCATCACGTACCTCTTGCGACCATCGCAGCGAATGCACGCATGCGCTCTGCAGCAACGCCTGCCACGCGATGCCACAGGGAGCCAGCCCGGGCTTTGGGCAAGGTGCAGACAAGCACCCCGCGGCGCTCAGCTCCTCGAAGTCCCTCTGCACGAGCACGCTCACTCTCACGGGCCGCCGCATCGG